TCGCAACCTTAGGTGCAGGTTCGATTATCAGTGCGCCGCCTGCTAGTTCAGATGACGAACAGTCCGAGGATGCAGGCCCACCACCTGTCCAAGCCTTCAACATGTCTGCCGCTGAGCCCACCCCGGTCTCTCGACCTGCCGGCCCACCACCACCAGAGCCTGTCAATGCTCCTTTCCAGCCTCGTATGTGGTTCCTCCGCGCCGCCCGGCCGCTGGAGGACTATGCGCTAGGCCTCTGGCCGTCTTCAGTTGAAAGGGAGCCCGCCGCGGACGAGGACACTGTCCGCCGTGTTCAAGCCGATTTGCTTGGTCTTCAACGAGGCCTGCGGACCTTTGCTGCCGCTATTCCCCTTGGCACCCCCTTCTGCATTCACAATCCCTTCACCGCCCGACAGCAATGCGAGCTTGTTGAGTATTCTGCTGGCCCTGAGATCAATCCCTTTGTTTTATTCAGGGGACACGCCCGCAGCCGGGGTTGGGCCGATATTGTGCTCCTGCAACCGCAGCCTGATGCTACTGCTGTACACCTTATCGGGTGTCCGCAAGCACCTGGGAACGCAGCTGTCGGTATTGTGCTGGAAGGCCGCCTTGTGCCCTGCTGTCTCCCGGTCTGTGTTGGGACCGCGGCATTACGTGCTCTGCAGCTTGACGGGAGTGAGTACGATCTTCGCCCCCCTGAGGTTCAGGAAGGGTCCTCGGTCGTCCAGTTTCGTAATGGCGACTGTCTGGCTGTGCGACCCCGTTCTCAGTCACGGTCTCCTCCTCCGCCGGAACAAGTCGCCGCCTTTGCTGCCCCGACCAGCGAAGCTGAACTTACTGCCGGCAGCCCCGACATCCCCTTCTCCTCACAAGGTCGCCCCGTTTTGTCTTGGGGCTGTTTCTCACTGATCTTCTGCCGGGCTACCCCATCAATGTGCCTCTCTCTTGGACTCCTTGCTGGCGCTGCTCTAGCACAAGGCATGCATAGACCAGGCGGCTTTCCTTGGGGTACCGATCCAATCAACCGTGACTTTTCCGCCATTACGGCAGAGGACCCGGTCTATGTTGTCCTGCATAGTCCCTTCTTGGGGGTGTTTCCCCCATACACAGCCTCCCATGACACTCGCCACGGTCAAGTCTGGGCCCAGTTCCTCAACGACGCCCCGGGATGGGCATCTGATTTCTTTCCTGTGTGGCCGGGCCCCGCCTTCAACGAGTTGTCCATGGTCCCGGTGGGACAAGATGCGGCCCTTGTGACCATTATGCTGATGTGGCGGGGCCACCATAGGGCCACGCTTACTCCGCGGACCATGACAGTGGCGTGGTTGACAGCCTTTATCTCGCGTCACATCAACAGCCCCGTTGATGGCATTTCCCTGCCGCACGGGCTCGCGATCTGCGAGCTCTTTGATGTTCCGCCCGCGGCTTTCCGTTTTCGCAACGGCGATGTCGTGTACATCCATGACCCTCCGGAGGACCCTTCTGAGCCGCTCGAGTTTGTCGATCCTTGGCACCTGCAGGATGGCCTTGCAGCTCACCACGCTCCCTGGGCTACGGGCTTTCAACTTATGTTCGGCATTTCTGTGCACCTGCTTCGCCCTAATCGCCCACCCCTGTTGGCCTCTGTTTCAGCTGGAGAAGCCTGGTGCCCAGAATCCTTTACGTTCACCGGCACTTTCCGTAACCACTTTCCGGGCATGTGGACACCCGTCCAGTGGTCCAGTGCCCGGGCATTACAATTGATCGAGGTCCACGGTGTTGCGGCTCAGGTTAACGTGGTTGCTGCCTCTCCTGAAGGCCGCCTCTGCCGTACCGTTGATCGGATCGCCTCGCGCGATAGCCTTGCCGATCAACTGCACTTCCTCCCTGGATCCCTGCAAGTGGGGGGAGTTCCCTCCTACGCTCTCAATCAGGCCTGTGAGCTTCGGAATGGGGATGTCGTGTTCGGCGACTTTGCCCGAGGGGCCTGCAGCGGCCGTCCACTCCCGTGGGGTTTGGCCCTGGGCCTCGTCCCAGCTCTCTCCTCCTGTCGTACGGGCACACCTTTCTTTCGCTTCTGCTGGGTTCCCTTGGGGCCCATTCCGGCCTTTTCTCCCGTCTTCTCATGCTGACCTGGTGCCTACATGGCTCGCAAGCTATGGTTCCGGAAACTTCGGTGTTGAGCCAGACCACATCCTCGGTTATTCCACCAGCTGCCCCACCCAGGGTCTCGGTCACTGTGGCCAACCCTTTTGCGCCATGGCATCGTGTTGAGGCCGACCCACGTCACCTCTTCGATGATGTTATGGCAGACGCCCACCGCACTTTGACATCATGGCACCGGGGATTTGCTGCCACTGGCCTGGTTTTAGAAGGGTCCCAGGTTGTTGTCCCTCTCCCGGGAAGTAGGCTGGTTTGCCTTATTGTCTTGGGTTTAGGTCAGATGCTCTGTGTCATCCTGCCGTCCTTCCTTACCCCTCGAGACCTCACTCAGGCCCTCCAGATGAGGCTTGGCCGTCGTGTGAGCCTTAAACTCCAGCCCGGACTGGGGGCCACCGCTCACTCCGATCGGCCAGTCCTCGCACTCCGTTCTGGAGACGTTCTAGCTGTCTGCCCTCTCCAACTGGACCCTCTCGCAGGGCCTCGCGAGCCCCCGGTTTACTTGACATGGGGTGCTGCCCATGCTGCCGCGGCCTGGCACTCTGATTTTGTGGTGGCCCAAGCCTCCTGTGTGCTACTGTGGTCCCCTAGCCGTTCCGCTAGGGTCGTGTTGCTGGGCCATCAGGCCAAATGGGACGCAGCGGCAGCTGCAGTGCTACATCATGAGGTTGAGCTTGGCCACCACCGCTGGGCCCCCTGCCATGGACATCTAGGCGCTCCCCCCTGGCTCGTCGAGCAGTCTCCCTCTCAGGGGCATGCCAACATTATTCAGTCTAGTGGGGCCACAAGGTGTGTTGAGACCGCTCGGGACGCTGCGCATGATTTCTATATTGCCGGGTACTCCCTTCGACCTGCCTCCAGCCGGGCTTGTCAGGTTGCTCAGACCAGGGACGGAGACTGGTGGGTTCTTTCTGCTGCATTCGGTCTCCTGGGGAGGCGCCCTCTCCTCCCTGCCCAACTCGCTCTTGTCTTCTTCGGGCTTCTTGAACCTGTGTGGGGAGCGTCCTCCAGTGCCTCTGGCCGCTGCCCCAGCGCGGACTCTTCCGAGGCGCGTACCATTCGAACTAGGCGACGGCCCAGCAGAAGTCGCTCACCCTCCTATCCCTGGCCTGGAAGGTTCTTTCCCCCTGCCATCGATTTCAATGATGGGGAGCCCTATGTTCCGCTAGGTGGTTGGCAGCCCGATAACCCCGATGGACCACTCGCACGTTACTTCCCTGGTCCCCGACCACTCACGGCTCGTGTTTTGTGCCCCCTGAGGGGATGGAGCGAGACCAGCTTCCTTGACACGACCAGATCATGGCGGTCTATCGAGCAGGAAGGTACGCGCCACTGCGGGCTTTGGGCCCATCGCTTCTTCCCTGTCCGGGCGGTGCTCCCAATTTCCCAGATCACAGTCGCTCCGGTTGCCCCATACGGTCTTGCTACTGTGGCCCTGCACATTGAGGGTTGTTCGGCCGTTGCTTTTGCCTCGGTGGACTCGTCTCTTGATGACATTCACCGGCTTGCTGTTCGCGTCTTTCCTCACACCCGGTTTTGGCGCGTCATAGCACCACCTGTGCTGCGCACTACCATCCCGAATGTGCATATCCGGCTCCGCAACGGCGATGCTTTTAGCCTCCTTCCTGAGCCTTCCGATCCGGGTGCTACCCGTTATCCCTTGCTGCAGTATGCCTCGCTGGACCGGGCACGGCAAGTTGCCAGCTGGTCGCTCCCTTTTCGCTTTGACTCGGGCGGATACGTCTGCCTGTGGTATACGGGTCGTCGATCTGGCCACAGCATTCGGATCAGGGATACCGGCTATTGGGATCCCGAGGGCCCCACCTTCTGGAGTCTTAATGGCAGAGCGCTGTCAGGGTCGTGGGTCCCTGTCCTCTCTGGGGATCTCTCCAGTCTGCACCTGGTACACAGCACCTCCACTGGTGAGGCCCATGTCCTTCTCTTACTGCCCCCCGATCTTGAGCCTCAGGGGTTGTTGCTCGCTGGTTGCAATGCCTACCGTGCACCGCCTGGGTGGCGCCTTCTACCTGCTCTGCAGTATGTTCGGGCAGACAGTCCTCTCCGAGATGGAGATGTTCTTGTGCTGGACCCGACTGCTGATACGGTTTGGGACCCTACCGGACCGCCCCCGCAAAGCCTTGCGGGTCCGGCCCCGGGCCCAGTTGCGCGCCCACGCTGGGGGCCCTCGTCTTCTGCTGCCGCCGCCATCTCTGGTCGCTGGGCCTGGCTTGCGGTCCTTTCGGCCAGATGGCCCCGGCTTCTCGCCCTGGCTTGCTTGGTTTGTGCCGGTCAGGGTATGGCTCCCGCACTGGATTTGCCGGAACAGCTGTGGGTTTCTTCCCGTGGCGGGCCCCAGCCGCTGCGGCTGATCTGGTTGATCTCACCAACCGCACAGAGATTGACATTGTCCTCCTTAGTCCCTTCACAGGTCCCCAGGAGGCTGGGCGACTGCCCACTGCCTCGACTACCGGAGAGCTCAATGCTCTCACACGCTCCTGCGACCCAGCTTGGGGTGCTGAAGTTGCACCTGTGTGGCCGACAGCTGCCATACCGGCCCTACTGGTTGTTCCCCGTCCCCTGACGCCAGACCTTGTCTGTTTAGCGGTCTCCTCCTTGGATCGGCACTTCTCTATCCTTGTGCCCTGCACTACCTCTGTGTCCTGGCTGGGCGCGGCTCTTCGCTTCCTACAGCCGATGCAAACTCTCTCTGTTCGTGCTCCCAGTGCTCTCACAGCCGATGCCACATCTGACCAAGGCGTGCGCTGGCGATCTGGAGACCTGGTTGTTGCATTGCCTCCTGCAGCTTTTGCGCCCGAATACCAGCCCCCGTGCTTTCACTCCGACGCTCAAGTGCGGCATTGCGCCATTTGGGCTGTTGATTTCTCGGTCTCCACCCGTGTCAGCTTCATACTCTGGAGGCCCGCTGTTCGAGCCATCCGGGGACACGCACCGGCAGGCAGCCGCTGGCGTGCTCTTGATTATACTTTTGATGGTGACTTTAGCCTCCACTACCCTGGGCGTTGGGTTCCGGTTCCCTGGATCGCCCAGGATCACGCCCACTTGGTTTTGCTGCCGGAGGACCCTTCGCGGGTCAATGTCATTGTGGAAGCAGACGGCCATTGCTGGTGTGCCCTTGTCACAGCCGTTACCGATGCCTGGCAACTCTGGACTGAGCTCCCATCTATCTCCTCTCAGCCTTGCGTCCTTGGTGTCCCACACCAGGAACTGCGCCAAGGGACGACCCTTCGCAGCGGCGATGTTGTTTCCGGCTGTCCAGGACTCTCCCCCTCCTGTTGGCTCCCCTGCTCTCTGGGGCTTGCAGCTTGGTGGGCACTCGGCTCTGCCTCCTCGGCCCCTGGCTATCTTCTCATGTTTGCTGGGCTGCTCGCTCTCCCCCCGGTGTCGGGGGCACGTCTTCCCCACGAGAGCGGCGGTCGACAATGGTCTTTGGCAACGTCAAACTGTGACAGGTCAGCTGCCGAACCGCCCGGCTTTCGCCACCGCCTCTGGGACCCCGCTAGGGGCCTCCTTGGACCTTTTCCGGGGCCATCTCTGTTTGTCCCACCTGCTCTCCAGGAGGCCGCACCCGCTTGGTCCGATTTCACCAGGGTTCGACCACCTCAGGACCACCGGTTCATTGATTGGGTCCCGGTACCTTCGGCTCCGCTGTTTGCCACTGTGCTGCTCCAGTGCCCGCCTGCCACTAGAGCTGCACTTCTTCCCGCTACCTGTGCTGTGGCTGATCTTGCACGAGCCAGCAGCCACTTTATTCCTGACTTGTCATACGTCTTGGCTCCCCCGGAGGCTTGGCGCGGTACTGCTACGACCTGTACCCCCACCTTATTCCTCCGGTCTGGTGACGTCTTGACTCTGGCCAGCGCCACGTGGGCCCCGCGCCTCCGCTCACCCGTCGGGCGGTTTTGGGAAACCCTACTCCAGGCTCGTCAGCTAGCCTTCTGGGGCAGCCCCTTTCGCATCAGGCAGCCTGGACTCCTCTTTGCTTGGTCCCCGGGAGATCCGGTCCCGCTTACTGTCCCCACTACCAGTGATGAACAGTGGGATCCTGAACATTGCACCTTCCGCCCTTCTCTGGTCCGGTTCAGTGTCGGCCGCTGGATTCCAGCAGCCCGGGTTGACGACCTTGGGCTCCATCTTGTCCCTGAAAGCCCTAATCTTCATTGGGCCCATGTCTTGTCTGCCCGACCCCCCCTAAGCGTTCGAGTGGTGCCTCGCCATGGCGCAGATGGACTCCTGCGGGATGGTGACAGCGGCTCCCCCCTGGGCAGCGCTCCCTCCCGCACCTTGCTTCCGTTGCTTGCCAGTCTGGCCGTTCGCGGGCGTCTGGGTCGGCACTGGTTTTCTCTTCTCAGTGCTTGGGTTCTTCTGGCTGGGCTGCCCGAGTTGCTTCCGGGTACGGCGGCCCTTGGATTCCCGCCGGTCCCCACTCATGCCCTTGCGCGGACCCCAGGTCCTTCGCCCATTGGAGTGGATTTCGGGTTGCTCTCCCGCACCAGCTGCTATCTTCGTGCATGGGGGGCGCCAGATTGGCACAGCCCGGATGGACTCTCCTGGGCGGCAGATATTCACCATGAGTGTGCCGCTCAGGCTTCCTTGCACCAGTTGTGGTGGACGCACGACCTCTTCCAGAATCTCCCGGCATCCGCTCCAGCGCCTTATCGCCAGGCCTTCTCTAGTTTCCCAGTATGGTCTGGCGGTGTACCCGATCAGGTTCTCATCGCCACTGATGGGAGTGGCGAGCGGGGAGGAGCATGGGCCTTCTGCGTATGGGTTTGGTGGCGTCACAAGTGGCACCGGGTCGGGTGGTTCGGCGCCGCGGGGGCCGATACCCCTTGGTTCTCTGGAACTGCGGCCCCCGGGAGTGGTGTCTCCTTTCACGCTGAGCTTTGGGCCCTACAGGCCGCGGGCCTCTGGCTCCTCGCTTGGGTCGACCGCCTCTCCCTTCTGACGTCAGCAGCGCCTGCCAAGGTCACCATTGCGGTTGACAATGCCTCTGCGCTCCAGATCGCAGCTGGGCAAGCGCAGGCCAGTGAGCCAGTCACCACCCTTACTCGTTATATCTGGCAAGCTGTCCAGTCCCGTATGTCCACTCGCTTTCAGCACGTGCACAGCCATGTTGGCATTCTCCCTAATACGATCGCCGACTTTCTCGCTGGCTGGGCTGGCCGGACCTCGTGGCATCCCTGGAAACATGTCGATGCTGCCCTCCCCGCTCTGCTGCAGGAAGCGGCGCCTTGGCTCTGGCTCATTCCACATGCCAAGGTTGTCCAAGGCAGACCCTGTATCCGTCTCACCGCGCACAGGTCGAGGGCCCGCTGTCCAGTGCCCTTCCACCGAGGTGCCCTGCGCGGCTCCGTCGCTAGAGCCCCAGCGACCGTTGCCGCTAGCACCCTCGCTATCCCTCCGCATTGTTACGGCTAATGTTCAAACCATGCGGGACTCTTGTGCCTCCTTCTTCAATCCGTCGGGTCATGGCCAGCGGCGTCAATACTTGTACTCTCAAGTCGCCCAGTTGGGCCTCGATGTGGTCTGCCTTCAGGAGACGCGCAGCAAAGGAGGCCGATGGGATACAGCCGGCCTTCTCACCTGGCGCTCCGGTGCCCAAAAAGGTAGCTACGGTTGCGAAATTTGGGTTAGGCCCCAGATAGTTAACCCCCCCCTCCGCCTGGATGACTGGCGGATTGCCTGTGCTGACCCAAGACTTTTAGTCATAGTCTGTAAACGGGCGGACCTCCCTTTGGCCGTTGTAGCGGCGCATGCTCCACACGCCGACAGACCAGTGCCCGAAATCCACCACTTTTGGTCCTCACTGCAATCTCAGCTGTGCCAGCTCCCACGGGCCCTCACCTTAGTCCTGGGCCTCGATGCTAACGCTGATCTCCTTTGGGCCGATGACGACCATGCCTATATCGGTAATGGCGAAGAAGGCGCGGGCGAGCAAGGCCTCTTTGATACCATCCAGCGTTTTGGCCTCCTCGCCCCCGCCTCCTTCTCGGACCTTCAGGACGGCCCGGGCTGGTCCTGGGAGCATACTGGCGGCACCCGCAAGCGTCTAGACCATATCTTGCTCCAGGCTGGCCCCTGGTCCTGCCGTCGCACCCGACAGCTTCCTGAGCTGGACATTCTCAATGGTCGTCGGGATCATATGCCGCTTCTGGTCGAGTGCGACCTCCGGGGCCAGGCCACCCGGCCCAAAGCGCCGGCCCCACCCCGCGCCACTGTGCACCAGGCACGAGCCATTGCTGCCGATCTTTGGGGAGCTCTGCCGTCCACCTTCCGGCACATTGACAGCGTGGGAGCTGAAGTGCAGGCTCTTAAGACCAAGCACTCCTGCTTGCTCCGGGCCCTTCCTCGCCCTCCACGCCGCCCCATCCGACAGCCCTACATCACAGCGGCCTCTGTTGCCGCACTCGATCGAGTTCGGCAGGCGCGAGAACAGCTCCCCCGGCTGCGGACCAATCTGGAGTGGCAGCAGCGTCGCTTTCTCTTGCAAGTTTGGCGTCTGGGTTGCACACACCGGCACCCCGATGCTGCACCCCTGCGCCCTGATCCGACGGGCCTGCAGCATGCCCGCCTCCTTCTCCAGGCTTGTAATCTTCATGTTCGGGGGCTTCAGCAGAAGGCCCACTATCTTGCTAGGTCCGACAAGCTGGCTCATTTCCGCGCACTTACTCTGGAGGCGACCAAACACTGGGAAGCCACTGGAGTCCCTTTGGAATCCATCCGGCATCTGCGTTGGGCCTCCCGCAAGGCACACGAGCGCCGGTCTGTCCACGCAGCCGGTGGTTTCGACATTGATAGTGAGTTGGAGGCCCAGTTCCGTGATCAGGAGGGGGCCAGTCTGGTCAGCCCAGTGCAGCTCTCCAGCGCCGCTGAGCGATGGATGAATGAACCGCGCCTCCCGTGCGCCGAGGCGGTTCCCACCCTCTTGCAGATGGAACAAATGTGTGTCCGACAGGCGGCCGCCAAGGCCCCAGGACCAGACGGACTGCGGAACGAGCTCTGGCGCGCGCAGGGAGCCTCAGCAGGGCAGTGGCTCTGGCCCCTGTGCGTGCGCATCGCTCTCCAAGGAAGGGAGCCTTTTGCCTTTAAGGCTGCCATTGTATGCGCCCTTTACAAGAAGGGCCCTGCCTCTCTTCCTGCCAATTACCGCTCTATCGCGCTACTGAACGGCATCGCGAAGCTCTGGCATTCGCACCTGCGCTCCACTGTGGGTGGCCACGTCTTGTCGCGATACGAGCCTATGCAGCTTGGGGGCCGCAAAGGTGTCCACACAGGATTTGCGTTGGCCGCCTTCCGTTGTGCCTGGGACCTTTCCATCTCTGCCGGCCGATGTGTCGCCGTGGTCTTCGTCGATATCCAGGCCGCGTACTATGAGGCCAGCCGGGATCTCCTCTTTGAAGGCTTTCCTGATGACGTTGCCCTGCCAGAGCATCACCACCTTGCTGGGCTGGTTCTCAGTCTTCAACAACAAGGGGCCCTAGCTGCCTTGGGTGTTGCTGAGGACGTTGTTGCGCTCCTCCGTGACTGCGTCGCCCTCTCCCACTGGTCACTCTCTGGCTCTTCCAACATTTTTCTTGCGTCACGGGGGTCTCGTCCAGGTGACGGCCTAGCTGATATCCTTTTTGGGGCCCTCTTCGCTGTCGGTCTTCAGCATATCCAGCGCGTTGCCACCCGCCAGGGCATTGTTCACACCAGCGCCGGCGCTGAAGTCGGCCTCTCCCCAGGGGTCAAGCCCATCGGCTGGGCTGACGACCTTGCGGTTATGGCCGATTTTGACCGACCAGCTGATCTTCTTGTTCAACTGCCCGTGCTGGTCGGCATTATCCTTGACACTCTCCGACTCCTCCGATTTCGTGTTAATTTGGGTGCGGGTAAAACTGAGGCCCTTGTTGACATCCGGGGGGAGGGCGCTCGGGCGGCCCGCGGAGCTCTCCTCACTGGTGATGCCATGTTGAAGATCTCTGATTCTGACAGCATCAGGTTGTGTCCCGAGTATAAGTATCTGGGTGTGGCTCAGCTGCCTCGGGATACGGGCCGCCGCGACTGTGAGCTTGCCGCCCAACGAGGCGCCGCTGCGGCCTCCCTTGCCCGCACCCTCCTCTGCAGCAATTGCTTGCCCTGGGAACTTAAACGGGCTTGGGTCGCGGGACGAGTCCTGCCCTCCGCGTATTCCTCCCTTGCTATGTCTCTGGCCGACTCCGGCCGTGCCACGGCCCCTCTCGCTGGCCTCTTCGATCGCACGGCCAGGATCCTGTTGTCCTCATGGCAGGTCGGGCACAAGCTCACCACCCCACTGCTTCGGCTCCTCGCTGACATTACTCCTCCTGACCTGGCTACTACCATCAGTCAGTGTCGCCTTTGCGTCCAGCTCTTCTGCAAAGCACCCACGGCGGTACGTGAAATCGTCGACGCGGCGTGGAACAGGGCCCTCCCTTGGTGCCAGGCCCTCGTTGCAGCATGTATGAGGGTTGGCGTTGCGCTTGAAGTTTGGGACCCTAACTCCCCCCCCGCCGTCACGGCTCTGTTTGTTCTTCATACCCACAGCCGTGCCCTCCTTCGCGCCTGCAAGGCACTCAGCAAGTTTGGACATAGGTACATTGCCTGTGCTCAGCTGTGGGATGACCTCTCTACCCGTAAGGCCACCCAAATTCTAGGACCCCCCCAGGCCCATCGATGCCCTGTGTGCAGCATCATCTTCCCGAGCCTGCACGCGGTCAGAGCCCACATGCATCGCAAACATGGCGTGCTGTCCGATGTGACTGCTTACATGGCCGGCTCTGTCTGCCTCTGGTGTATGCACGATTTCCACTCTTCGGATCGGCTGAAATACCATCTGCAATCCCACCGGGCCTGCTTGCATGGACTTCGGGTGACGGTAGGGCCTGTCTACCAATATGGGTCGGGCACCAAACGCAAGGGTAGAACGGCCCACAGGGGTGTTCCCCCACAACGCCTATGCGGGCCCTGCAATGCCACCCCAGCACAGCGTCGGGCCGCGGATCTGGGTCTGCCTGCTGATGAGGAGGAGCTGCAACAGGAGTGGGATGCAGTGCAGCGCTCACCGGCCCTCTCCGACCTCGTCCCCGGCAACCTGCAACGGGCCGTCACAGGGTCCTCCATCGCTGCTCCAACCCCTGCCGGACTTGGATTTCCCCAAGCTACGGCTCCAGTCTCGGAACCCTCCCTGTCCCGCCTCGCCTCATCTTTGTCATTTGTGGGTTCCTTGCCCTCTTGGTTCTCCTTTGTCGATGGGGCTGCCTCAGGCAAGGATTGGGCTCTGCCTACACCCTGGTGGCCCGGGCTTCTTGCCATGGGTGGGGTCTTTCGGCTTCCCCCATCGTGGCATTGCTTCTGGCCCCTGTGGTCAGCCTTGGAGCTCCTTGCCCCTTGGGAGTTCCGGGCCTTCCGGTCGCTTGGCGTCCTCCGTCGCGCCTCGTCTTCCGGGCTTGGTGCTCCTGTGTCTCTTGGCGATGCGACCTCTGGCAGATGGTCTCTGTTGGGGATTGCTGCAGCCTTGATCTCCTTCCGTATGTCCTGTAAGGTTGTTCTGCGGTTTGGCGCCCTCTGGATTCCCGGGCGCCCCAGTCAACAGGGCCTTGTCCTCTTGCGGCGGCTGCTTCCTTCTGCCGTCTTCTTGGACTTCTGGTCCCCTGCTGGTCCTGTTTTCCTGGCTGCGAGCTCTGCTTCCTTGGCCTCGTCTGCTCGCGCCATCATTGCCGGCTCTGCTCCTGCGGCCCCGCCCCCGCTTTCCTTGCGGGCTTTCTGGGCCTATCCGGCTGCTTGAGGCTTTTCGTTTTGTACAGGCTCCCACTTTGTCTTTCTAGTTTGGCTACGATCCTACAGCAGGATCGTTTTTGGCCGTGCATGCTTTAGTTAGCACAGGACTCCCCTCTGGCATCAGTGAAGTGAAGTGATTTGGGGTTTAGGATTTAGGATTTAAGGTTTAGGATTTATTTAGGATTTGGGGTTTAGGATTTAGGATCCTAGATTTTCTACGTTTAGTCGCGCTTATCCTTTTCGGAAAAGGACAACCAGCTCTAAAATCTAGATGTAGGATTTAGGATTTAGGGTTCAGGGTTCAGGGTTTAGGATTTAGGATTTAGGGTTTAGGATTTAGAATATAGGATTTAGGATTTAGGATTTAGGATTTAGGATTTAGGATTTAAGGTTTAGGATTTAGGATTTAGGAACCAGCTTTAAAATCTAGATTTTCAAAAGCTGTCAAACGATAAGGTTAAAGGGCCGAGCCGGCCCTGCCATGCCGAAGGCCCGAAAAGGGCCGAGGCTACTCCCAGCCGTTGCCTAAACCACAACTTCAACAACTGGAACGTTCATGGATGCAAAAACAGGGATTTCTTGGATTTCCGGTTTCCAAAGCTGTCAAACGATAAGCTTGAAGGGCCGAGCCGGCCCTGCCATGCCGAAGGCCCGAAAAGGGCCGAGGCTACTCCCAGCCGTTGCCTAAACCACAACTTCAACAACTGGAACGTTCATGGGTGCAAAAAGGACAAGGCCGGTTGCGAATCTCGAGGTTCCCTCCATTCTGTTTTGGGGGGCCGGACCCCCCCGGACACCGGCAAACATCCCCGGACACCCCTGACCCTCCGGACATGCCGGATTCCTCAACAGAGGGCCTCCGAAAAATTTGATTTTTGCTGGTGATTTTCAAGTGATAAATTCTGTTCATAAAATGTGCCTTTTAGACAAGGCCGGCTGCGAATCTCGAGGTCCCCTCCTTTCTTTTCGTGTGGCTGCTCTTAATTAAGCTTCCGGTTTTCAATATTTAATCGCGCTTGTCCTTTTCGGAAAAGGACAACCAGCTCTGAAATCTAGATTTTCCAAAGCTGTCAAACGATAAGCTTGAAGGGCCGAGCCGGCCCTGCCATGCCGAAGGCCCGAAAAGGGCTGAGGCTACTCCCAGCCGTTGCCTAAACCACAACTTCAACAACTGGAACGTTCATGGATGCAAAAATAAGGATTTCTTGGATTTCCGGTTTCCAAAGCTGTCAAACGATAAGCTTGAAGGGCCGAGCCGGCCCTGCCATGCCGAAGGCCCGAAAAGGGCCGAGGCTACTCCCAGCCGTTGCCTAAACCACAACTTCAACAACTGGAACGTTCATGGGTGCAAAAAGGACAAGGCCGGTTGCGAATCTCGAGGTCCCCTCCATTCTGTTTTGGGGGGCCGGACCCCCCCGGACACCGGCAAACACCCCTGGACACCCCTGACCCTCCGGACATGCCGGATTCCTCAACAGAGGGCCTCCGAAAAATTTGATTTTTGCTGGTGATTTTCAAGTGACAAATTCTGTTCATAAAATGTGCCTTTTAGACAAGGCCGGCTGCGAATCTCGAGGTCCCCTCCTTTCTTTTCGTGTGGCTGCTCTTAAGCTTCCGGTTTCAATATTTAATCGCGCTTGTCCTTTTCGGAAAAGGACAACCAGCTCTGAAATCTAGATTTTCCAAAGCTGTCAAACGATAAGCTTGAAGGGCCGAGCCGGCCCTGCCATGCCGAAGGCCCGAAAAGGGCTGAGGCTACTCCCAGCCGTTGCCTAAACCACAACTTCAACAACTGGAACGTTCATGGATGCAAAAATAAGGATTTCTTGGATTTCCGGTTTCCAAAGCTGTCAAACGATAAGCTTGAAGGGCCGAGCCGGCCCTGCCATGCCGAAGGCCCGAAAAGGGCCGAGGCTACTCCCAGCCGTTGCCTAAACCACAACTTCAACAACTGGAACGTTCATGGGTGCAAAAAGGACAAGGCCGGTTGCGAATCTCGAGGTTCCCTCCATTCTGTTTTGGGGGGCCGGACCCCCCCGGACACCGGCAAACATCCCCGGACACCCCTGACCCTCCGGACATGCCGGATTCCTCAACAGAGGGCCTCCGAAAAATTTGATTTTTGCTGGTGATTTTCAAGTGATAAATTCTGTTCATAAAATGTGCCTTTTAGACAAGGCCGGCTGCGAATCTCGAGGTCCCCTCCTTTCTTTTCGTGTGGCTGCTCTTAATTAAGCTTCCGGTTTTCAATATTTAATCGCGCTTGTCCTTTTCGGAAAAGGACAACCAGCTCTGAAATCTAGATTTTCCAAAGCTGTCAAACGATAAGCTTGAAGGGCCGAGCCGGCCCTGCCATGCCGAAGGCCCGAAAAGGGCTGAGGCTACTCCCAGCCGTTGCCTAAACCACAACTTCAACAACTGGAACGTTCATGGATGCAAAAATAAGGATTTCTTGGATTTCCGGTTTCCAAAGCTGTCAAACGATAAGCTTGAAGGGCCGAGCCGGCCCTGCCATGCCGAAGGCCCGAAAAGGGCCGAGGCTACTCCCAGCCGCTGCCTAAACCACAACTTCAACAACTGGAACGTTCATGGGTGCAAAAATATAAAAGCCCCCCTTGATAGGGGGGTTGGGGGGTAGAAACCCTAAACCCTAATAGAGTATAGTTTGGGTGGCCGGGGTGGGTTTACAAGCAACGCGAGCGCGCGGCCCGGGGTGTTTCACACCCGAGCGCGCGACCTCGCCAGACACACCCTAAACCCTAAACCCTAAACCCTAAACCCTAAACCCTAAACCCTAAACCCTAAACTCAAAAGCTTAAGCCTGAATGCTCAGCTTAAGCCTTATTACGCACAGGAGCGTACTACACCTTGTTCGGGAAGGAAACGAAAGACATTCTAGTCTCTACGAGGTAAATGGTAATTATAGACATAATTACTTCAATTTACTAGTAAGCTCATAACTGATTGCAAGTATTCCGTGATATATAGAGTTATATATTACCCTAAACCGGTGTTTCTAACCATCGGATCCCTCGAGTGCTCGTGTGTGCCCAAGCAGGTCGGGGCCACATTCTGCAGCAAAACAGGGCCGATCTTTTCGTGCGCCTGCTCTAAACCATCTTTTCATGCGGCCGCTCTTAGCCATCTACCTCATCCCTAAACCGGTTTTCTAAATTTAAGTCGCGCTTGTCCTTTTCGGTAAAGGACAACCAGCTCTAGAATCAAGGTTTTCTTCATTTAGTCGCGCTTGTCCTCTTCGGAAAAGGACAACCAGCTCTAAATTTTAGATTTTCCACATTCTGCCTCCAGAATTCTGGAAAATTGCTGGTGATTTTGAAGTGACAAATTCTGTTCATAAAATGTGCCTTTTAGACTACGCCGGCTGCGAATCTCGAGGTGCCCCCCTTTCTTTTCGTGTGGCTGCTCTTAGCCGCCTTCCCCATCCCTAAACTCCGTCCCTCGGAATGTGCCTTTTAGACTACGCCGGCTGCGAATCTCGAGGTGCCCCCCTTTCTTTTCGTGTGGCTGCTCTTAGCCGCCTTCCCCATCCCTAAACTCCGTCCCTCGGAGCTCGGATCAAAAAATGGACCCTCGAGTGCTCGTGTGTGCCCAAGCAGGTCGGGGCCACATTCTGCAGCAAAACAGGGCCATTCTTTTCGTGTGGCTGCTCTAAACCATCCAGTGCCTATGGGTGCCGAAAGCGGCCAAAGCCACATTCTGCAGCAAAACAAGGGCGTTCCTTTCGTGTGCCAGCTCTAAAATCGAGAATTTCTACATTTAGTCGCCCTTGTCCCTTTCGGAAAAGGACAATTAGCTCTTAAATCCTAGATTTTCCACATTCCTGCTTCCGGAAATTTGAAAATTGCTGGTGATTTTCTAGTGACAAATTCTGTTCATAAAATGTGCTTTTTAGACTACGCCGGCTGCGAATCTCGAGGTGCCCCCCTTTCTTTTCGTGTGGCTGCTCTTAGCCGCCTTCCCCATCCCTAAACTCCGTCCCTCGGAGCTCGGATCAAAAAATGGACCCTCGAGTGCTCGTGTGTGCCCAAGCAGGTCGGGGCCACATTCTGCAGCAAAACAGGGCCATTCTTTTCGTGTGGCTGCTCTAAACCATCCAGTGCCTATGGGTGCCCAAAGCGGCCAAAGCCACATTCTGCAGCAAAACAGGGCCGTTCCTTTCGTGTGCCAGCTCTAAAATCGAGAATTTCTACATTTAGTCGCGCTTGTCCTTTTCGGAAAAGGACAACTAGCTCTTAAATCCTAGATTTTCCACATTCCTGCCTCCGGAAATTTGGAAAATTGCTGGTGATTTTCAAGTGACAAATTCTGTTCATAAAATGTGCCTTTTAGACTACGCCGGCTGCGAATCTCGAGGTGCCCCCCTTTCTTTTCGTGTGGCTGCTCTTAGCCGCCTTCCCCATCCCTAAACTCCGTCCCTCGGAGCTCGGATCAAAAAATGGACCCTCGAGTGCTCGTGTGTGCCCAAGCAGGTCGGGGCCACATTCTGCAGCAAAACAGGGCCGTTCTTTTCGTGTGACTGCTCTTAGCCGCCTTCCCAATCCCTAAACTCCGTCCCTCGGAGCTCGGATCAGAAAATGGACCCTCGAGTGCTCGTGTGTGCCCAAGCAGGTCGGGGCCACATTCTGCAGCAAAACAGGGCCGTTCTTTTCGTGAAAATGTTTTGAATCCTCAAAGACGCCTGCGGAGTATAGCGCAATCTCAGTGTGAAACTCATGAGTGCATGAAATACGATAAAGCAAATCATGATAAAATGCATGGGGTATCCTAGGAGGCAAAATGATAAACACCCCGCCTACGAAGCTTCATTGAGCTTGCGGGTTGAAGTCTTCGGCATAATCTAGTTTGCCTCACCCCGTACGAAACAACAGCTTGCTTAGTTCACGATTGCACTCGACTCACAGACTACTTTTCATGAGCACTGCCCCAAAAGGTCTTTGGCTCGATACGTCGTTCGACTACGTAGAACTGTACATCTACGACTAGGTT